TTCCCAAGCCCTCCTTCATTATGTGTCCTAGAAATTCCAAATGTCTCTTTCAGATTCTAATTACAAATACCTTCTTTGCTTCCATTTTCCCTTAGAACTTACAGTTTACTCACTAGTTCACTTTATGTCATTCTCACAATCTTTGTTTAGCCATATTTCTGTTGTCTTATGTCTCTACATATTTTCTGCGATTAGATTATCTAGTGTTCACTAGGAAGACCAATATTATATAACAATTCAGTTTTTCCTTTTCTTAATTTGCAAATATTTTAGAAGACATCATTTACTTTTCCAATATGACTTGAGATTTCGCTCTCACATTTTCCGTTTTCATGACTTTTAAATTTTCGTAGTTACTTGATTTTTGTATCTACAATTTGTAGTTCGTATCTAGGGATATTTCTCTTACTGAGAGCCATTTATTCTGTCTTTTTAAATTGATTTTTTAGTCCTTTCTCCTCATTTGGCTCCCCTACCTTCTCTGGGGCTTCATAGATTTTCCTTTACTTCTGTTATCAACTCTGTGACATTTGCATACATTATGTTGTTAAGATTGTGCCAATCAATAATAAAACATGGTACAGTTTCTATTTCTCTCCTGAGAGCCTCGCTGCGATGTTTAAATATGTCAGGTAAGAAGACACGATCTTCTCATACAAACCTTTTTATAATTGTGTATTTTCTGAATTCATTTTATATTTATATACAGGCGATTTGCTCCCAGTAAAAGGTCCAGGTTCTTCTAATATTCCGAATAAATCAGGCTTATCTAACAGTTTAAACCGCTCCTTGTGTCGTAACTTATCGAACATTTCTGTAAAATCTAATAAAACATAGATATATATCCTTTTGTAATTTCATTGCACTTTCTGACATCATTCTGAGCATAAATATTATATTATTTGTTCCAATATATTTAACAAACCCGCACAGTTACATCTGGTATAATTTTGCTTTCTGTACTATTTATCCGACTTATCTGATAAGTTTCGTTATGTGGTTCTTTTGGCTAATTGTCCGATGTAGCGCGCATTCATCTGGACCTTACGGTGGCTTCAGCATGTTATGAAAATTAATTTATTTAGTCGGTATTTCATCAATACTGTATCTCTCATTTATTATTTCCGTAATAGTGCCAATAATGAAATCGTCTAAAACTGCTATCTTCTTTATTACAATATCATCGTTCCGCCATCTGCTGTTTTGTTTATATTCAACTTGACTATTGTTGACTTTAATATATTATGCCCTTCCATATCTTAGTACATTGCAGGTTCTCCGTCGTAATCATTCCAGCTCAGACTTCATTTTCTTTCTCCATTATTAGCATGCCTAATTTTGAACTTATGAACCCTGTCGATAAAAATCTTCAGTTTTGCTATTTCTCTCATTCTTTTGAGCATTCTTCATACTTCTGCATATATTTCTTTGAAACATTCCTCTCTTGTTTGGTTGTAGTTTTTTTTATATTTCTTTATGTAATATACTATATTCTGTGCCATACCTTGGTACTGTTTTCTGCCTCTTTTTATCATGTCAATAATTTCACGTCATGCCCTTTCTTTTATTTTCTAGTTATTCTTGAGAAGATCTTGTTTGCGGATATCACTAAAGCTTCCTTTAATTTTTTCAACGTTAAATTTCCATTTTCATTCAGTTCATTATAACTGCTTTTATCGCTGCTGATAACATTTCTTTGAACTGATCTAAGGATTGATAGTGGTTTGGTTTTTCGTTCGTATATCCACAATGATCTTATTGAGACAGTAAATCGAGTTGACCAGTCGTTGACTCAACAAGATTCTTTCCACACTTCGATAGTTCTTTTGTATTCTACAGGGATGCTAACCACCCACCCCTGACTCAATAAAGTGAAGTGGCGTTACATTCAGTCGTGGTCCAACCGACGAAAGACTTCTCACATATATATATATATATATATATATATATATATATATATATATATATATATATATATATATATATATATAAGCAAGTTTCAACAAAAACAAGAGTTACAAGTCTAAGCAATTTTAAATAATTCGCAAACTTCTAAATAATTTTTTAAAGTATTTTACTCCAAGCAAGGCGGCAATGCCACTAATACGCAAGGGGCTACAGAGAGTGAAAGTAATTGAAAAGATTGGGTATATGGGGAGGATTGAGGAAATAATGAAAGAAGGACGGAGATCAAGCCATCGGAAGATGTCAATTGACATTACATTTAAATTTTTGAAGATTATATTAATCAGAGAACTGCAAGAGAAGATTTTCGAGTAGAAGTTGCGGTTTCATTTAACTGTTTCAATGGTAAAAGGTTGGGACCGAAATGCCACTCTAGTAGCACGCTTAAATTCATGCAGTCGGCGCACCAGTGAAAATATCTCGTCAGAGAAGATGCCATGAATATATTTATATAAAAGACAGAAGGAAGTCACATTACGTCGGTGAGAAAATGACTGGAGTCGTGATCCCAAGTCAGGACCGATCACATTGCATATTCGTCTTTGGATTTTGTCGAGAACTTCGAGATGAACAGCGGGGGCACCAGACCAGATATGGCAACAGTATTCCATGAATAGAAGAATGGTAGATTTGTAGATGTGGAGGATGGATTCAGACAAGAAAACCTTCTGGCGTGACATATAGAACCAAATTTCCTTGGGGTTGATGTACCCATTGATTTAATGTAATTGTTCCACCCCAGGTCAGTGAATGACGTGAAACGCAGAAGGTGCAGTGAAGAGCTCTCTTACAGTTGGTCATCATCCATGCGGATAAGAAGCAGGGAAATTTCTCTAGGGTGAGTAAATGACAGCAGTTTCGTTTTGGATGAATTAATATCTCACAAAATTATATTTAAAAACGTAGGTTTACATGCTTGAAAGCTTATACATGGTTACATCCTGTTTTATCGTAAAACTTCTTAGCAAAACCTATTTCCTATAATGTCTCTTTTGTGATTACGACCTTCAATATTTTGCTGTAACGTTATCGCTCATCGAAGAATCTGAAACGTTATTGTTCCTGATCTGGCATATTGGCTTCAGTGACATTCCGCCCACCATAACGCAGATTTCCTGAGACTTTTCTGTGAATATTTTCAAGGAACTTGATCTGATAGTCTTTCCTCTTTACTACTTCGGCTTCAAGGACTTAAGCCCAGTACGTGATTGGAAGCTATGTCTCATAATTTTACTGATGATGTTATAACCTTATTTGACATGCACTTTTCGCTTGTAGGTCTCCTTTCCAGCTTCTTCATTTCCTGTCAATTCCCAACTTCAGAATTTAAATATCTTGTCAATCGCCATTTTTAGGGCACGTTGAAATATGTTCTTTTATTCTCCTCAGTGTTTATTCTATGTCAGTAACCGTTTGTAACACAATCGAGTTTATCACTTTGTTTGGGTGAAATGACTAAATAAACTAAATTTAATGCATATCTTCGTTTATTACATAAAAATGTTACATACAGATGATAAAAGGTTTATTATAAAAGGTTTTATTTTTCGATGAAATGTTCATTGAAAATCGAACTGGAAGTGGCATCACAGAATCGGCTAGCAAGGATCATGTTGCTTAAAAAAATGGAGAGCGTTATTTATACTTCCTTGATATCTCACTGTTTTTAGTAAGAATTGCTGAATTGGTGTATAAAAGAGAAAACGGAGACGAAGTTCTGTAAATTTTTGTCAACTTCTAAAAACATTTATTAATCTTCTCAAACATTTCATTGTAGCAGTTATAGTAGAATATAATTTTACGTTATTACTCTCATCAGCCATCAGCGAGTTGCAGCAAAATGGAAAAGATTCCTTTGATTTATCCCTGAAAATATCAGAGGACGGAATCGTATTTAATGTTCATCATGAACCTTTGATGTAGGAATTAATATCTGGTGACCTACTATGTACTATGCTCACCCGAACAGGTACGAAAATAAACTTTTAGCCAGTGTTACGCCAGAAACACAAAATAAGTTAATGTCTCATTGGTTGACGCAGAAGGTAACCTCGAAGCCACTAACAGCGCAATGGGCTTCAAAGGATACCGATCTGACCATATGATATACACGTATAAGACAACCGGATAACAAAAAGTTATATAAATGTTCAAGCTGCAAAGGCAGAAGGTTAAAACCCCACAATAATAGTATAATGTCCCTCGAGAGAGAGAGCAGCCCGAAAGCACGTGCCATTTATAGGCCGACATTAATTCCAGAATTGAATAAATATATATATTACGTATTTGTAAATTTGGTGTTGTAATTCTTATCTATTATTAATAACATAATATTGCAATAAGAGCAAAAATTTTACTAAAGAAAAAATATATTTCTTAAATTCCCTGAAAAGTAAAACCTACTTATCATCTCCTTAACATTAATACCAGGATTCTTAAGGACTGGTCAACCAGATATTTGGATAAGCAATAAAAGAAAAAGAACTGTTTCAAAGTGAACGAATATCCTACAGAAACCCACCACACACTCTTACTAACCTCAATATAAATCCAAGAAAAGAGGGCTTCGCACTAAGCTCTCTCTAATCTTTCGGCAGAAATCTGGAGAAGTTCATCCATTCCCCTAACCATCATAGAACTAATCAGGACGAAAAACTTTTCTCTCACTTCCTCTTCCTCTATCCGTTCTAAAGTACCGCGAGCAACACAAGATGGATAAAATTTTTACTCATAAAAAGAAAATACATTTTCCAAAACAACGTTCGCTCGCGTTCTTTCAGTTTGAATACAAAAATAAACATTATGTACAAACCTCGAAGATACGGAAATCCTGATTTAATATAGAATTATAGGCACAGAACAATTCCCAAGAGAACGACGTGATATGCTTTTTCGGATATGATCTAGAATTTTCAGCAAAAATATTATAACATCAACTGAATTGCTTTAAACAAGTCCATTTTCCAATCATTTGGAGCGTTAATATCGATTGCGTGTGTGCGATTCTCTAGTTGGCATTATTTCAGACCAGTGGATTAGTAGAGGAAGTTCACTCGTTGAACCTCAGTCACCTGATCTCTTTCCATTAGACATTCTCTTGTGTCACAAACTGTCGTATAGACATCAAACGCTCGTCGTGTAGATGCTTTTAAGGCTAGAAGTAGGAATGCAGTATATCCAATCACTGGGCCGCAGGTGAGAATCAAATACACTTCATTCCAAAAAAAAAAGTGTAGACAAAGGAATAAAATAATAATGATGTTTCACTTTCTCAATAACCAAATAAAGAATTCATTAAACTTTATAAGATTTTGTAATTTTCCACTAAAGTTAAACACTTACCCGTTAATTTATTAGAGATGAAATGTGGACAATTCTTGATTGAATTTTCTCCTTGTTTGAGAATGATTATTCATAATTTGTAAACATCATGACCATTAAAATTAATCAGCAAAACATTCCTGTCGTTTTCTTTATATGTATATATATATTCATATATATATAGTTGACTCTCCCGTCGAGATTCGACGTATGAGGGTCAGGCAGATCAGTCTCCTAGAAACCGACACCGGCACATGAGATTTGATTATAGTGGTGAAGGCCTCGTGCAGGACCATCCACACTTTTTGAAGGGACGAATACAGAGACCTGGTGCACAGAGTGCCACAAGGTTCCCAAACGACCCTCCGCAGGTTTTGAATTCAGAGTTGTCGTTCTCCTAGACCAGTTGCCATCCAAGGCTATAGAACCCAGTCTCTCCTGCTATTTTACCCATAGCTGGAGGGAAAGTAAGAGGATTCACACCTTTCCCAAGGGTATTAGCACGTAAGTGAATGTAATGGATTCGACTGTAATTCGAACTCAGCTCTGTGATTCCTCAATCCAAGCCGCTATCCATATATATATATATATATATATATATATATATATATATATATATATATATATATATATATATATATTGTGTGTATTTAGATACAATTTTTTCATTCATACATGTTTCATTAAATAATATAGACAATTGTTGTCTATTTATTTTATGTAAATTCTTTTCATAACGTCTGATAAGCTTAATAACATGATCATTAAACGAAGAAAGAAAACCACAATATTGATCCATATTTTCTTTAAGCCAATCTCAGCTTTCGGCTTACATAAACCCATTATCAAAGATGTCAATTACTGTACAATATATTAAGCAATATACGGACAAGACAGTGTTGATAGTCTGTTATTGTTTTCAACTTTACTCCATGAAGTCATATCCTAACATATCATGCCATTTTCAAATCAGGCTGACCCCGTGAGCAAATTAAAAAAAATCCCGGGATGGATTCGGATCCGCCTATTTGAAATTTTGTATTAGCAAAGTTTTAATTACTGCAATTGTTTTCATCGATTTTTACGTAATTTTTGCAAAAAAATGTTTACGAATACTATTTCTATAATTTGGAAATAAATTTGAGAATAATTGCAATTAATTGTGAAATCCAGCGAAAGTCACCCCTGAAATAAAAATAATTGTTTGTACGGAAAGTAAGGACCTACGTACATCAAATTTCCTTTAAATTAAGTGGCAGCAGAAGAATTATCGTTTAAATTTTGAAAGGTAAGCTTAAATATTAATGCAATACTTAAATGCAGCGACCAATTTTGACTTTTTCCATAGTTTATTTTTGCCTATCCTATCTACGCCTTCCTACCAATTGTGATGAAGGCTTAATCAAGAGTCTTCTTGAGAATCTAGCTTAAATACTACCTGATAGCGCAGCTTTTAATCGAGTATATATATATATATATATAATACCGATATATAACGATATACTAATTTTTATATATCAAAAACAGTTTTGGAGGAAACATATATGACAATGTCGAAAAGGTTTTTTTTTTTCCTGTGACGCTTTTTGTCTTTTAGAACTTTGTCGGATGGTATTTGATTACATTGATGTGAATACACATGCGCACGAACGAAATAGCTAAGAATTGTAACTAATGCGCTTGGGGTATTGAATCTAGCCCGCTTCATTTAAATTCTTATTCTTTTTATTACAGCCGTCTTTGTTATTAAATACTCCGAATTGTGATGACGATTCATCTGCTAAGGATGGTGATAACATTGGAAACTGAACGCGAATTTAACGTGGATTTACTAACGATTAAAGCACTTTCTAAACCTTTTCATCAACATTTTCGTGAAAAGAATGAGTACCTAAATGACAAAGGCTAGATCATCTATGAGTAATAGACGAAAATATTTAGAATGTGTTTTTTCTCTAGTTCCTCCCAAGAAAATTAATGTCCAGTTTCCTACAACTTTTCACCATTGTCAGGAGATCTTCTGTTATCAAAACGTTGGATATTTAATAACAAAGCTGATGGAAACAAAAAAGAAATCTAAATGTAGTTGGCTAGATTATATAACCAAAACACATAAAAATGTAAATTCCTAGTGTCTCTCGTTCGTGTGTGTATGTGTAATTGCATCAGTCCTGATGAAGTCCTAAGGGACGAAACGTGTCAGGCAAAGATTTTTTCAACATTGAAAATTAACAAGCCACTCTTTGCTCCATTTAACAGCAGACTGTTGTATATATATATATATATATATATATATATATATATATAAAAGAGAGAGGTTATAGTGGTTCCAACGAGAGAAAGGTCTGCATATTAAAAAGAAGAGAGGTGACGCAAACGTCTTTGGTTGTAATGTGGATTTAGAAAAAAAATATTATGCTTTATTTTCCCTAATTTTACTACACGAGTTTCTGGTCTCGCGACCGTCTTCAGGTATATATATATATATATATATATATATATATATATATATATATATATATATATATAATATAAGAATAAAATAATAAATACAAATTTTAAACTCCATAATCTAAAATAAAAGTTTAAATGCCCTACCCAAT